TCTATTTCAATCCTTCTAGTGCTAATCACATATCCTATAAGCTTTCCTAAGGTAACTTCGAATGCACACTTGGCTGGATTTAGCCTCATGTTGTACTTGCGAAGTCTTTTGAAGAACTTTGTCAAGGCTATTGGGTGACCTGGGCGATCTTTGGATTTTACAATCATATCGTCCACGTACACCTCAACTTCTTTATGTATCATGTCATGTAGTAAAGCAGTTGCTGCTCTTTGGTATGTGACACCCGCGTTTTTTCAACCGGAATGACATTACCGCGTAGTAGTAAGTGCCCCATGGCGTTGTGAAGATAGTTTTCTCCATGTCTTCTTTTGCCATGAGAATTTGATTATAACTTGTGTACCCATCCATGAACGAGAGAAGTGTATAATTTGTTGTATTGTCTACTAGAATGTTGATGTGAGGTAGAGGGAAATCATCTTTCGGGCTTGCCTTATTGAGATCCCCGTAGTCGACATACATTCTTACTTTACCATCTTCCTTGGGAACTGGTACCACGTTCGCGACCCATTCTGGGTACTTGGATACCCTAATAAAACCCGTAGTCAATTATTTCTTAATTTCGTCTTTTATTTTAAATGTTACGTCGGGTTTCATTCGGTGTAGCTTTTATTTTACAGGTTTCATTCCTGGTATTAATGTTAAAGTATGTTGAGCAATTTCTTTGCTTATGCCTGGCATATCTTCATATGACCAAGCAAAAAAAATCAATAAATTCAACGAGTAGATTAATTAATTCAACTCGTTCACCAAGATTTAGAGTTGATCTAATTTTAACTTCTTTCTTTATGATGGTGTCTTTTGAGAGGTTAATAGTTTCAGTTTCTTCGATTATTGTTGTCTTATTCTCAAGTGCTTCCATTGCTTTAATTATTTCTTTGTTGTTTTCATTATTAGCAAAGCAATACTCGTCATCAGGGGTTAGGGAATAATACGAGTAGTAAGCGAAAGAAGTCATATTATTAAACTCTTGAACCATTACCTCAAAAAGAGAAAGGTCCGCAGGGACCTTGTTATTAACTATCCTAGGGGTAGACTCTATGGAAGGAATGATAGTAGGAGGTGCAACAACGAGAGGCTTAGAGGGTTTAGGGGTAGAAGACTTTAAAGAGGATTCGGACTTAGACTCAGACTCGGACCCAAATGACTCGGACTCATCAAACATAGGGCCTTCACCCGTAGTTATGTCTATCCTCTTTCCACTGGGTGTGGTCACTTTCACGGTCTTGCGCCACCCCTTGAGTACTCTTTCCGCAGGAAAAATGTGCTTGGAGGGGTCGAAGTTTTTGCTTTCTAGGACGTATGAGTGTGGGTTGTCGTCGACACACTTATGCTTATTTGTCTCGTACCCAAAAAGGAGACCCATGAAATTGAAGTCGAAGCATAGGGGTGTGTGTTCCCTATAGGTTGGATTGGGAATCCCATCTAGAAAGTTGCAATCTAAGAAGCTTTTAAACCCGGGATGGAGTTTCCCATCCCTGACAAGTGGTTTAGGAAATTCATAGCATGGGTAATCTTCTCTCTCTTTTATAAATTGTCCATTCAAAGTGAGAGGGTAAGGCTTTATTGGTATTGCATCTTTCCGGCTACGAGCTTTTCTTCGTGCATTGGACTTGTTCAAGGCTTGCTTAAGAACTTCTGGAGTTGACACAAATCCAAGTCCAAAAGTATCTCTTTTAGGGAGGCTTGGTAGTCCCATGCGTTCGGCTATTTCCTTTTTCTTTCCTAAAGTCATTCTAGGAAAGTGTCCTTGCCTTTTTAGAATAGCGTAGACGACAAGATTTGAGCAAGGGTCATAGTCAAGAAGGGTCTTTTCATCTTCCTCGATAAAAGAGATCTTTTCGGCGTTAAAGCCCCACAAATCTTCATCGTGTTCATCGTGGTCCAGGTGAATGATTGGGTTGTCAACTACATGGATCCTCATGGGGGAAGCATCGATAGTGATAGGGATACCTCCAAATATAGCCTTTACTTGTTGATAGAGAGATGAAGGAACGACTTTTAGGCCATGAAGCCAAGGGCGTCCCAATAATAAGTTGAATGAAGGCTTGATATCCACTACTTGAAAGGTAGTGCTATGTTCAATGACCCCTGTAGTGATATTCATAGTGATGGTTCCAAGGGCTTGGCGACGAGAATTGTCATACGCCCTTATGCCTTGTGTAGATGGGGTTAAATCATCTTTTATTCCCAACCTTCTAGCAGTATGAAGTGGGCATACGTTAATTGTTGAACCATTGTCTACAAGGGTCATAAGCACGTTACATACTTTTGCACACCACGGTAAGGTCCAAGGCTTTGTTGTGTTTGTCACCCTCTGGCGGCAATTATTTGTTAGAGAAGGTGATCAAGTTATTTGGGCTAGGGAGGTCACTTGTGAGGAAATTGGCCAACCCTTCTGGAGTAGTTTTTAGAATCTACTCTAACTTTTGCGAGAGCATCCATTACTACAACTTTATGCTCGTGGGATGAGGCTAGAAGCTTCTATACATTCATCTCCACTTTAGTCTTCTTAAGTTGCTTGACTATATCATTATCTTCTATGATGGATGTTGGAGCTTGTTGAGTTGCAGGTGGAGGCACAGGTGCACCTGGTGATTGCAACCTTTCAGACCTTGTGAGTACCGTGGTTAGGGAATCCTCATTCCATATATCATCATCGTCATTGTTGGGATAGAGTGTTTTAAGGGGTGATTCGATTAAGTCCTTAAGGTATACATCTTCATCATCACAGTCCCAAACTACATTGACAAGGGTATCATTGGAGGTAGGGATGGTGTTACTCTCTGCTGGGATATTCTTAGTGATGTAAAGCCTCTTCTCATCTATGAGTTTTTGGACATAATCTTTGAACCTGAAATAGTGTTCAATTGTGTGGCCTCCAGCTTGATGGTATTTGCAATACTCCCATTTAAGGGATTCAAACGCTGAGGATTCCTTTGGTTTGAGAGGTTTGACCATACCCCCGCTATAGGGCATGTCAAAAGCTTGTTCATAATTGATGCATATAGGTGTGTAAGCCTTTCTAAATTTTCTCTTTTATGGCTCTACAACATTGAAAATAAATGGCTTCCTTTCAACGGTATTTAATCCACGAGAGGAAGAAGGGGGGGTCAATTTTTCTTTGAATAAGATGGCATTCAATGTTTACTATTCGTCTAAGAAGATCTTGAACTTTGACATGGGCTATATAAAGAGCATTACGAAGACCGACAATGTCTTCTTTAGTAGCCTCATTAGGGAGGTTAGCAATTTTTTCACTGGTAACCTTACTTTGGAAATCGGTCATGGCATCGAAGAAGGTCTCCTCTTCTCCTTCAATGGCAACAGTCTCTCCATGGAAGGTCCTTCGATAGGCTTGATGAGGAGAGATGGATCAAAAGGGGTTTGACATTCAGAAATAGCCAAGGCGTCAAAAAGTGGAGAATTGTTGATGCTTGGCTTTAGGTATAGGAAGTTTATTGTTGTCGATCAAATATGGGATGGCTTCCTTTAGTTTCCAACAACTCTCAATAGTATGACCCCTGCCTTGATGATATTTGCAATGAGCATTGGGATTCCAGTTAGGTTATCTCCCTTCAGGCGCTGAATCTTGGATAGGTCCAATGGGAGTGATCAATCCTTTGGCATGAAGACGATCGAAGGCGGTGTCATAGTTCATTCCAATAGGGGTGAACTCTTTCCTTCGTTCCCTCCTTGGTCCTTGATTATTCAAGGTTAAGACATCGTTGAGATCATAGGTGCTAACATTGTTACTAAAGTGGGTGGTTTTAGAAGAAGAAGGAGTGTCATGTTTGTTTCCTTTCCAGCCACTGTTGTTAAAATTGTTAGCAGCTTTTGCTTTCATAAGGTCATCCTCAATTTAAATGCCTATGTTATAGACAGCTTTGAAAGTGTTTTAAAGTTGATATTTTAGATGCTTTTGTTACTTCTCTTGGAGATTTCTAATGAGTATTCGCACGGATTCTTTTTCATTTGGAACCTCGATCATCTTCCCAGAAGTTTCTTTCCACCTATTGTAAAATGCAGTGAAGCCCTCGTTTTCCTTTTGCTTAAGGATTTCACGTTCTCTATGATCATTTTCTATTTGGATATTACACTTGTACCTATCAATGGAAACATGTGATATTATCCCAAGTAGCAACTTTCTCAAAATCTATAGAAAAGTGCCATCGTTGGCATACTGGTTCCAAGGAAAGAGAGAAAAGCGATGGGAAGATTTTCTTATCAATCCCTTTGGTTTCCATGATGGTTTCAAAAGACTTTAAGTGAAAGTAAGGATTGTCACTGGCTTTGAATTTAGGGATGTTAGTGGCTGAGAACTTGTGCGGAAGAAGTTCTTTGTCTAGTGAGAGCCCCTTAGAGCTTAATTGTCTCGGGTGGAACATACTTGTTAGAGTCTTCAATGTGCTTAATTGCCTTAGGTGGAACATACTTATCAGAGTCTTCGACCTTCTCCATTCGAGTGGTGAGTCCTTTCACTAGTAGAAAAAATGAATTAGGCACCGCACTTTTCGCATCAGTTCTTGAAAACCGGTGGTAAAAGAAATGGGCAAGATTGGGAAAAAGACTTTTCGCACCGGTTCCTATTAAACCGGTGCGAAATCATCTTTTTCGCATGATTTCGCACCGGTTCAAACCGGTGCGAATTACAAAAGAGAAAAAAAAGTAAAAAAAAAAGGGAGAAAGGGATTTCGCACCGGTTCAGTCCAAACCGGTACGAAATAGTGTTTTAGCACCGGTTCAAACCGGTGCGAAATTAAAAAAAAAACCGGGCTGTTATATCTTCTTCTTTCTTTTTTTCCCCTTGCTTTTCCATCTTCTGTTTTCCCTCAGCTCATTTTCGCCTTCTCTTCCACCACCTCCGAATTTTCACCTTCTCCATTGAAGCGGTTTATGAACTTTCTCACTCCATTGAAGCAGCTGCACCTCCTTCTCTCTCCATATCTCTCCTCCATTGAACTCGTGCTCTTTATTCTCCATTGAAGCGGATTCTGAGCTTAATCACCTCCATTGAAGCAGCTTCAAGGTAAGGTTTTTCTTGCGGTCTTCTTAATCTATCGAATTCCTTCGCAATCTAGGGTTTGTCGTTGATTTGCTTTTCAATTTAGTAATTTTAGGGTTGTGGTAATATAGGGTTTGTCTGAATTTACAAATCTTGATTCAACCCCAAATTCTGACAAACCTGCAACGCTTCCGACCAAGACACCGTCACCTTTAACGGCTTCCGGTACCGGCGCTTGAAATTTTTTTCTTTTCTTTTCTGTTAAAGCTTACAAAACCCTAATATAAATCTCTCTTTCGCTCAATTTTTTCCCCAATTACAAGTAAGTTTCTTCTCTTTTTCGCTTAATTCATCTTTATATTCTTTTATGCTGTATTTTTTGTTGATTTTGTTATAGATTTAGTTGAAATTTGTGGTATTACGTTGTATTTTTGATTTATTTTTTTTAATTTGCGTTTTTTTTGCTCAATTTTTTCCCCAATTTCAAGTAATGTTTTTGCTAACCTTGGCTGTGTAGAATCTGTAGATTGTGTATTGTGGGTTCTTTGATTTTGGAACTTGACTCGTTATTTTGGGTCACTGTTTCTTTTTTTTTTTTTTTATTCAATAACTTTGCTATGAATCTGAGTTTGTTTTGATAAATAATTAGTTTAAGTCATTATAATTGGCCTATGAACAAGTTGAGTTTCACTATATTCATACTGATTAAAATTTGTATGCATTAGTCAATTTTTTCAAGCATTGGATTTGAGTGTCAATTTTTGTTTGCTTCAATGTGTTTATGATGGATATTTTGTAGGGCTTTAATTTGAGAACAATTGTGAAGTGGGTGTGTTCTCTAAGTTGACTAATGCATATTGTTTGGTCGTAATCAGCGGGTCTGAGAACTTTTACAGGTTTGCTTGCTTAAGTTGCCGAGATTATTAGTGGCTTAGTGTTCCTTTGGTTTGGGTTATTTTGTGATAAGGCTAATGTTTGATAGTCACACTATGAATTGTTGTGTGTTTGCAGTACATTTGAATCCGAGTTGGCGGATTATATTCCCGTTGTAAAGACCTCATGGCAGGAAACAAAAACGGGCTTCTTGTGCCTCACTCAACTATTGACCAGGGTGAGTAGTTTGTTATTACAGTCTAATATTAATTGATTAAGGATTCCTACTTGAATTTTTCTTTGGGTGTTAAGAGAAGGAGTCTAAGATCTGTTCAATTAGTTATTTTATTTTAGTTTAGTGATTAGTGGAGCTCTTTGTTTGTGCTTATGAATGTGTTAATTTTCCTATTTTTGGCGTTTGGTATCATGAAATCTGATTTGAATATGTTGGCTAGAGTCTTGTTTTAAACTGTTTATTAAATTGTCAGTTTTATTTGTGGTTTGAATCAAATGAATTATGATGTTTGATGTTTTGGTGAGTTGCATACATTTTATGCTTAACCTAATGAATGCAGAAAGACTAATTTTTAAATTTAGGCTTTTATACAATGTCTTCTCTTTGTATATTGTTAGTGTATGAATGAAAATATGTCATTATAATTGGAACTGGAGCTATTATAGGTAATAAGTTGGTATTGGATTGTTCAGCTTGCTAGAAATGAAGTTAATACCTGATCAAAGTTAAATTAAATTTGTGGAATGGATTTTATTGCAATTCAATAAGCAAATAATTTTAATTGAAAAGGCTTAATTGAATCTAATTTGTTCAATGGGTGCAGGTTGAAGGACTAGCTGAAATTTTTGGCAAAACCAGATTCTGAAACCCAGGGATCCCCTGAAAGATCAGCGATTGACTCATCTGGTGAGTTAAAATTATGAGCAACTTATCCCTTACAGTAATTTTCATATAATGTGAGGTAGCCATGACTTAGGCTCATTCTTGTGGGCTCTTGTCACCCCCTATAAGCAACATCCATCCATTATTTTTATCCCTTACCTTTTTTTTTCTTGAAATTTGCTCCTGAAGATGACATCATTGTTCATATTGATTTGCAGAGAGTGATGAAACTGTTCTTGTCATGAAGGGCCCTAATGGAAGAATTAATAGAGCTTTTTTGGGGGCCTCTGAACAAGACTATTATCAGTTGTGGTGAGGATGCTATCATTCGCGTCTGGGATCCTGTGGTAAGTAGCACTACCAACTGTATCATTTCTGTTTGTTATATACACGTATTCACATAGCCTTGAGTCTTGAACTTCATGAAAGGACAATGCACTTTCAAATCCTGTTGTATGTTCTACAAATGCTCGAGTTCTTTTTGCTGCTTTTGCCGTGTTTGTTGGTTTGATTGTTAGTGCTTAAAATTGCAGACAGGTCAAGAGATAATGTCAACACAGGACCATGAAAATGGTCACAAGAAACCAATAACATCACTTTGTCTATCTGCTGACAAATTACATTTCCTCACTGGCTCGCTGGATAAGTCAGCTAAGGTTGTATATCTCATGATTAATGGATGAACAAGTAGTTGTTGATTTGTGTATGTTATTGTACTAACATGTTTATTTTCTTTCTTCAACTACGGGACACCAGAACTTTAACTCTGATTAAAACCTATGGTACGGAGCGACCTGTCAATGCTGTTACTATGTCTCCTCTTCTGGATCACGTATGTTATTTTTCATCAACTTTCTTTACCTTTTCTGATTTGTTGTTGTCAGTTTTACTTGCTGTGTGGTGTCTATATCTGAGCTGCTTCAGTTTTCCCATGGCATAGGCTTGTTTGATGAGTCTTAAGCCTTGACTGGATCATCTCTCTTGATTTATTTGGTTGTTACTTGCCTCTCTTTTTAAAAACCCTATGCTTTACTTTTGGGTTTAATTGATGTTATATGTTTGAAATTGCGGGTTTCTGGGTTTCTGGCGTTTTTTTGGGTTTCCGGGATCTGGGTAACAGTAAGGTGCTATTCGGCAAAGTGTTTCAGCTAGACAGCTACAGTATTATGAAGCTATTAAAATTTTAAGATTGGCAAATTAAGCTGATTAAAATGAGAAGATAAACACTAAAACTATTCAAAATATAAGTTAGCTTATGGATAGAGTTGCTTCATACACGCTCCAGTCATGTTGAGATTGTTCATGTTAATGTGTCATCTGCCTATTCATTTATGTTAATGTGTCCTACATTAGATTGTTCTTTATACATTAACTTATTCAATTGTTGTATATGTGAACAATTCAAATATGCGATTCTAAACATTTCAACAATTTTCCAACTTTCAGCCATCTTATAGCTTTTCATTACCGATATACACTATCTTCAATAGTTAATTAGTTTTGTACAACCATAAATTCAGTATATGATTTCTTAGTGCAGACATTTCTTAGCAGGATCATTGTTGAACTTTGTTGCTATGTTTTGTTTAAATATCAAATGCTTCCGCTACTACATACATTATACATAAATTAGGTATATATTTAACGTGGCTGCACTGCATTGTTAAGAATTAATAACACTTTTGAGTATTTTTGGCTGTAGTCCTAACTCCTAGCAAATGATATTTATCTTTTGTATTATTAATGCTTTATGGCTGGTAGTGATACTAGCCAGTTGGCTAAATGCAATACTGTTTTCACTTCTGCATATGCTGCTTCCTTAAATTCTTGAACTGTATGGTGGTCTCAGGCTAGGTTAATATTTTTGTGAGACATTTGAGTTTAGTTCATCCTCCATATCCTTTATCACGCAGGAAATTGAAGGAAGAGCAGAAACATTACATAGAGAAACTCAGCTGCAGCATAGTTGTGATGAAAGGTTCTCCCGAAAGTCCTCAGACTTAATTTGGGATACTCAGATGAACCTTAGACCCCTTACTTTTCCGCTGCCTCTTCCCAGCCTTACATAGTGGCCGAATGCAAAGTTTTAGGATGAAGCATGCTACTCCTATTAGCAGCCCTGAATTTATATGTTTTTTTTTTTTTTATTTTTTTTTTAATTTTTTTTTTTTTCAGTTTTTTAAAGTGTAATATTACTAGTTATTGAAGAAATATATGTTTTTTTTATGTATATTATGATTATATATAAGTATTTGGTACAATTTAAGTGAAAAAAATGCAAAAACAAAAAAAAAAAACTTTTTATTTTTTATTTTTTTGGGCATTTTTGGCACCGGTTTTGGAACAGAACCGGTGCTAAAAGTTTTTCTTATAATTTTTTTTGGCCACTTTTTGCACCGATTCACAGGCTTTTTGCACCGATTCACAGGAAGAACCGGTGCAAAAAGTTTTTTTTTAAAATATTTTTGGGGACTTTTCGCACCGGCTCACAGCAAGAACTGGTGTTAAAAGTTTTTTTTTAAAATATTTTTGGGGACTTTTCGCACCTGTTCACATCAAGAACCAGTGCGAAAAGTCTTGGGATTTTGCATCCCTTAAATCAGAACCGGCTCAAAACCGGTGCGAAATGGGGGTTTTGAAACGGTGTTGATTAGCAATTTTCGCCTAGTGTTTGACAAGCTCGGCAAGACCCTTCATGGTCTTTTGGAGTTTTTCAAAATCTTCCTTAGAGGCCATTGGTTTCTTTTTTCTTCGAACCATGTTCTTGAAGAAGATCTCTTGTATGTAGGAGTTATTTCGAACTAAGCACCCTTCTTTCCTTGACCAAACTCTGTTAAAATCAAACCATGGACTCTTTAATGACTTTATTCTAATTGACTCGTACTTTATAGGGTTAAAAAAGCAAAAAATGGGTGCATATTTTGTGGGAATCAAGTAGAGAGGACAAATTTTTCAAAACACATAGTTTATGTTGGGAGGATACTATCCAACTTACTCAAAGACGAAAAACAACGCGTGCAAGACTCTGAGCATGGTCATGGCGTGAAAGAAGACATGTACAAAGTGTGTGCAAGACTCGTGAGTGAAAGTGAAATTTACAAGACTCGTGTGATAACCATGGGACTAGACACGTGGTTAAACTCATACAAGACCGAGAAAAAAAAATGTAAAATGTCGTTAAACTGGTTAATCGTAACAGTGGGACTCGATGTGAAGACTCAAAAAGAAAAGACCGAACTATCGCATAACGATGGAACTGTCGCGTGGCAATGGTCCCATCGGGAAGCGCCAATGCATGTCGCAGTGCGATGAAAACCTTCTTCATGCGCCACAAGTCTGGAGTAATGCACCAATATTGGAGCACTACAATGATCTGTTTTCAGCCATTCTTTTGGAAGTTTAAGCCTAAAGTCTTCTAGGTCGAGCATATTTATAGTTCATAGGTTCACATTAACTAACAAAATTAGTTAAGCAAAGTCCTTTTAGTCCTTGGGTTAGTATGTTTAGACTTATGTACAAGAAACAGGTCAACACAAAGGGTTAGTTTAATCACATGTAAAGTATGCACAAGTAGTCAAGTAGTCACAACATGATGCAATGAGTATGCCACCTAACCATGGCTCTATCCTCTAAGGTTAAGGATTATGGTGTCCAAGAGGGTCCATGGTTAAGAGTCCGGATGCGATGGGACCCCGCGAGTTAGACTCAACTCCATGCTTTGGTGAATTCACAAACTCGGATGCACTCATTATTGCACAGAGCGTTTTTAGGGTGGACGGAGCGTGAATTCTCAAGGGCTAAAACCATATGTAAAACATATATGGGTTCAGAAAGGTTAAAAATACTTAATCAAGAAGTAAAAATCGTCGAGACAGTGCTAGAACCAGGCCAAACACGAAGACAGAGAACTAGCGCAGAATTGCCAGACTCTGTCGCTGATCTTTCGCTGATCGGCAGGAACCAACGCCTGGCGATAGCCCTGTCGCGAAGCGATAAAGTTGTTGTCCGGTGTTGGTCAATGTCGCCATGCGACAAGTCTGATGTTCTGCGGCAGACTCGATTTTCGATATTTTTTCCGATTTTTCGCAGCGTCTTTTTTATTTTAGTTGTGAAAAATATTTTTGGACTTTCCTAGGTGTATTCCTATGTTTTGACGCATCACAGATGGTCTTTCCAATGCGTACCTTTTTATGCTTATGCCATAATGTTAATCAAAATTACACGCATGAACATCAAGAATCTTTCAAGTCTCATCCACTCATTCTAATTAATAGCTAAACAAATTAGGAATTAAATTATAAATCCTCTCCAGCAGAGTCACCAAAAACTGTAGGGAATTTTTCATCTCCTACCCTACATGTGGGTCATGTTTTTAAGCATGGCGGCACACCAAGGAAAATAAGCTATAGAAAAAGAGTCGTCAACAAGTTTTAGGAACTTGTAAACCATTCACGATTGTGAAGGTTACACCCCATTCACAATCACAGAGATTGCTAGCTCCATAGTGGTCCGGAACGGTGACTGGATGTTCGGGGATGATGGTACGAATTTGACCTAAGAGAAGCCAAACCCGCTCTAAATAGGCCTCTACTTGATTTTTATTGATTATGAATTAAAATATAGATTTGGGACCAAACCCTCAAAACTATCAACCTTTCACGTCGAGGTCGAAGGCAACGTCGATTATGGTTTGGAGTATTCGAATCACGCGAAGGAAGTATTGTGTTTGATTTGGGGTGTATCAAAATATGTTTAGGCTAAGGCTATGAATATTGGAATTGAGAATTCTAGGTGTAGATGATGATTATTGTTGGTTTATTGATGGTTGTTGATGAGGATTGTTGATGATTGTGGCTAAGGATTCTAGATGGTTCTAGCTGTTTTGAAAATGAGGAAAACGACCTCTATTTATAAGGAAAAAGAGAAATTTTGGATGATTAGAAAAGATCAAAAGTTCTAAACACAATAAAACTTCTTTGACGAGACACGACAGGTTTGTTGCGGCGCGTTGGCACCTGTCGCGACGCGACTAGGCTGACGCGACGCGTTAGGCCTGTCATTCTACGCTAGTTCCTAAAGATAGATTAGTAGTAAGGATTTTTATTTCTAATGGAATTATATTGCAGCAGATATCCAAACGTCTTTGAATTTGAATGGAAAAAGGATTATCATATGAGAAGTTTTATTCAATCTCGAACTTCTTTGATCTTTATTTTTTTGGAAAGGATAGATTAAAACCTTCTAGAGGATTATAAAGGATCCTAACTAATTTAGGAATAGGAATATGATCATATAGGGCATAAATAGAATATTTGGACTCCATATAATCATTGGGTCGTACTATAGGTGGACCTAGGCTCGGTTTGAGCTCGGTTTAGTATTTTGGCCATAACTTATTCATTTTAAGTCGGATTTGGGCTTATAATATATCATTGGAAAGCTCTTTTAAAGCCCCATCCAACTAAGTAATAATTGGACTGAGAACATGTACCAAAAATAATGATATTGGACGTTTTTATAAATTGGGCACGAAATGAATGAGTTTAAGGACACGAAATAAATGATTTTGGGTTTAAGGACACAAAATGAGTGATTTTGGATTAAAACATTTTAGGTAAGGTTAGAAATATGGTCAAGGCTTAAGGAAACTCTGAGAGACTCTTCAACTCTTTACCGAACTCGTCAGTCAAAACGTGAAAGGTACTCATCACTAGGTTTGGTTTTTTGAGGAGACACAATCAGGTGTCTACAATCAGCATAAGAAATGTGTTACTTTTGCGGCTTATTTTGTAGCTCATGAAGATATACCTTCTTTTGAATGGGTGTTTGAAACTTTTCTTAAAGCCATGGAAAATACTGAGCCTATTTGTTTGATTACCGATCAAGACCCTGCAACAAGAGTTGTTATTTCTAATGTTTTTCAAACTATAGAACATAGGTTTTGTACGTGGAATATTATGAAAAATGTGGATGATAAATTAGGTTGGGGAATTTCCCAAGACACTGCTTTTCTGGAAAACTTTGTACATGTGTTTGGCATTTAGAGATTAAGTCGGTAGAGTTTGAACAAAAATGGAACAAAGTTATTTCAGAATTTCATTTGGAGAATCATGAATGGTTGGCGCATGTGTACAATATACGTGATATGTGGATTCCAGCCTATTTCAGAGATTTATTTTTGGGTGGCATCATGAGGACCACTTCTAGATGAGAAAGTGAAAATAATTTATTTACTATGTTTGTAAATCCTCATCTCACTCTGGTTGAGTTCTACATGAGGTAATAAGTAATAATCTAAATATGTTCTAAAGTTACTCTCTATGCTCTAAAGTTTCTCTCTATGTTCTTAAGTTTTTTTTTCTCTCTCTTAAGTTTATTATTACTGTTCTAGTTTTTTTTTTACGTTCTAAAGTAACTCAATATGCTATAAAGTTATTATGTTCTAAGCAAGTTTAGAAGATAGAGTAATTCATTATGTTCTAAAGTTTTCCTCTTATGTTCTAAAGTTTTCCTTTTATGTTCTAAAGTTTTACTATTTGTTTTATAGCTCTCTTTTAATGTTCTAAATTATGTCTTTCATGTTTAAAAGTTTTCACTTTATGTTTTAATGGTACGTAGATCATAATAAGCATGTCATGTATATTATTTTTATATCTTCTAATGTAATTCATTCTATGTTTTAAAGTTATTTTCTATGTTCTAAAGTTACTTTCTATTTTCTATAGGTTTGAATGAGCATTAGATGCTCAAAGGAACACTCAAAATAAAATGGATAATATTCAAAAAATAAGCGTCCGAAATGTAAGACTCCAATTTCTTTAAAGAAAGATGCTTCCGAGTCAACAACAATTTTTCTATGAATTTCAATACGAGTTTGAAATTGGATGTTTTAATTGTGGTGTTTAGGAGATGAAGAAGGACAATGAGATTTACATTTTCAAATTGAGGGAAGGATCTATGAGGAGGACTTTTGATGTTGTTTTTGAGCCAACTACCTTTGATACTAAGTGTTTTTGTAAAAAATTTGGACGTGATGGTGTGCCTTGTAGGCATATGATTTGGGTATGGAAGACAAAGGATGTTAGAAAAAATTCCCAATGCCTACGTTCTAAATAGATGGTGTACCAATGGCTTATAAGAAGCCCATTTTTTATTTAGAAGGTAATGTGTTGAAGGAATGT